TTTTAATTTTTTTTTGTATCAAGATGGAGTAGTAGAAAGCCAAAAACTTTCTTTCTCAAAAATTAAACACTCCTAAAAATATAACATCTTCAATTCAAATATGCACATGTACTCAATTTGAACATGCGGCAGAAGTTAAAAAACTGCCGTAAAGTAATACAAACGAAACGAAGTGGTACTACTGCAACAACCCAACAATTACTTTCATTTTCGAAATTTACAAATGGTGAAAGCCGTAAGTTACGATAATCAGCCAATTTCATGAAATTTGACTGCATTTCATTAATTATCCTGTAACGAATGTTTTATACTTTCAAGTCCGATATCTGGCAATTGTAGTGTCCCGGCATGCGGAACATTAGACAGATCCCTTTCAAATTTGAGGTTAAAAATTTATAAATACATTTTGAATATCAATTACTCTGCCCACAGTTGATTATTTGTGAAAACAAATTTCTCTGCGAGAAATTTAGTGATCAAATTTTCTTTGATTTTCACTACAGAATGTTTTCAAAACCACGGCAAATGTTTTGCTTTACAATAGCTTAGGTATAGCAGAATAGTGAAAATCAAAATGAATCTTACAGAAATCAGAACTGAATCTTCACAGTAGATTCTGGTGAATGCCAGCTGGAAAACAACTACTTCCATGGTCAACAACCCGACGGACATTGAATCATATCAGACAGACATTTATGCAAGATACTCACAAAGGTTAGTCTTGCAGATGTTTCTTGTTTATCTAGCAGCAGGACCAAGCGGAAATCAATCGAGTAGATCATCAAGCTTCATCTGAGAAATTTTTTCCCTTGAAAACCATATAGATCTTCACTAAGAATATCGTTGATTGATAAGTGACCCATCAATCAAAATTTCATCAATCTTTTAGTTATTTTCGATAATAAGCCTGTTGGATATATTTTAATAATAAATAAATAAATTGGAGGTTTTTTGTCTTCTTTCTGGTGATCAGGTCATCGTAGATGTGGGAATATTTTTGCAATGTTATCAAAGGAACTATTATCATTTGTCAAAATAATCTATCAATATTACCATCATCTCAAAATAGTTTACTCCAAATTTTAATTGACGAAAATTTTTCAAGTATGTGTGTGATTTGAAACTTCCCCAGTATTTTTATGATTATTGAACGATTTGTAAAGGATTGTGAAGAAAAATCATTACTTTTTCATCAACTATAAATATTAAGCGTCTTCAAAAAATGACATACCTCAATCTTTTCGCCTCATCGATAAAGGGCCGTTTCTCCCCTTCACTCAGGAGCTTCCACTCAGCTCCCAGCCTTTTGGAAATCTCGGAATTGTGCATTTTCGGATTCTCCTGAGCCATCTTCCTCCTCTGCCCTCTGGACCACACCATGAAAGCAGGCAAAATATAAATTATAGTTCAATACCAACTCCACAAGACACATAAACAACAGTTAGGAAGATAGGTTAGGTGCACAAAAAGTCATATGTCACAGAATGTCTCGGAACTCGGAACATAAGTAAACAGAACAGCACGCCTCTGAAATACGTCATCTTTGTTTGTCTCATACAGGTAACAGATTCATTGTTCTTTATTAACTATAACCGATGTTGCCAAATGGTGAAATAGAAACGAATCCCTTCAAATGTTGAATGCATTATTTCATTCCTCTATTTTGAGTATTCAAATAATTTTTTAAAGAAAGAGGTTGAGATGATAAGTTTAAAATGCGCGTTATTTTAGAGCTCTTTTATGAAAACTACTTGATTTTCGTCAGGAGGAACATTCCCCATTATACCTAAGGAAAAAAGTCTATATAAATTTGTTTCCGGAAAGCCTTCGTTTCGGAGATACAGGGTGTTGAAATTGATTTTTTTTTCCGTTTCTTAAAAATAACTTTCGCGAAAAAAAGTTATTTGCACAAAATCTAGTACCCGGGGTTATTTGACGTGGGAAATCATCTATATATGTGCCGGTAGAGTAGGGATGGTGAGTGTAGGCCCACAGAACTTAGGCCACATGTAACCCATTGTACATCCTTCCGAGGAGTTGTCCTTTGTCCTCCTAGGTTATTGTCCATCCTGTTCTTTCCAGGAAGGTGGACAGGGCTCTGAGAAACATCTCCTTTATATCGGCAGGTGTAGGCTAAGACTCGCCGAACACACACCCTCTTTGGCAAACTTGAGGTGTCTCACGGCGGTCTCTGCGAAGGTTTTGGAAGTTTTCGAACTCCTATCTAACATTACGGAAAACTTCACTAGGAGTTGACTGGCCTACTGCTGTAATTCGTCTTTTAAGATCTTCAATATCAGATGATTGTTTTTTATAAACAACGAATTCAAGATACCCCCAATGAAAAAAAAATCTAAGTGTGTTAAATCCGATGATCTCGGAGGCCATGCAGCTGCTTCCATTCTGACATCTGACAATCCATCTATCCGGAAATCTCTCACTGTCTCTCACTGTCGAACGGGAAGAAAATAATTACGAGGAGCACCATTTTGTCCGAAATGTAACAGAACCTCCTGCAAAAGAACCTTCTGCATCCATCTAGCTCGAGAATTATAAGAGGAGCAATAGTCTCTTCAAGCATTTCAAGATACAGATTGCCAGTGAAGTTTTCTTCCAGAAATAGTGGATCAATATGGCATTTCCAAAAATACCAGCCCAAACATTAACTTTTTGTAGGTGTTGTGTATGCCCTTTCCGAATAATATCTAGGTTTTGGTCACTACAATATCGACAATTTTGTCTATTAACATTGCCATACAGAAATAATGGATGCTCTGCATTTTATAAGGATGCGAACCATTTTTACACTTTTATACACTTATTAAAGTAATCACTAAATAGCCCAGCAGGTACAACTGTATGTACAATACTAACACATCGTTCAAATTTGCGAACTAATGTTTTGCCTGAAAACAGAAAATGCGTTATCATAATTTATTAGAAAAAAAAATATAATTCAAATAATATGAAGGAACAAAAATTACACTTTCTTTCGAGGCAGCACATTTTGTGACAGCAACATTAGATAATATTTCAGCTAACCCATCAAAGCTATCTGGAATCAATCTTCAAAGCTACGAAGTTTTGAATTATCGGTGTTTTTCAAAGTTTTAGGTTTGGGAATCCGACTTAGCTGGGCTTAGCAAATAATATTGTTGGAAATGCTATCATTTTTGTTTCTCTCTCTCTCTATTTTGTAAGTATTGGTTTCCGTATCCTAATTTAATCTTCGAAAAAAGTCAATATATTTTTTCAGAAAACAGTCTCATTTTTAATATAAGTCCGCCCCATAATATAATCCCCTTTCACAGCAGATATGAAATTGCTACCTTTTCTCAGAAATAAANAAAAATTCAAAGGTGGGGGTGGCCCAAGTCAGATGACACCCTGTATAAAAACTTCATGGACATATTCTGATAGCCCACACCAAGTGCCAATAGCAAAATGTGGACAGATTATCAATATATCTGTGAATAAAGAAGATATAGGCAAAAGAATAATTTGGGATTTTTTTGTTTTTCCTGTATATCTCCAGAACCAAAAGACCTATATTCGATTTTTTTACATCATTGAATAGGTCTCTGAAATACGCAACTATGCCACAATTTAACCGACACTCTATCTTATTGTTTACAAGATTCCCATGTACAGAAACGAATTTGAATAGCCCTGTATAAAGCACAAATTGAATGAATTTTAGTAGGTATGTATGAAAAAGCTTGAGGAAGCCATTGTTTAGCGGAACATATGTTGCGGGTTTATAACCTGTCCAGTGAAAATGACACTGTATTCAAAAATGCGTTATCATAATTTATCAAAAAAAATATATAATTCAAATAATATGAAGGAACAAAAATTACACTTTCTTTCGAGGCAGCACATTTTGTGACAGCAACATTAGATAATATTTCAGCTAACCCATCAAAGCTATCTGGAATCAATCTTCAAAGCTACGAAGTTTTGAATTATCGGTGTTTTTCAAAGTTTTAGGTTTGGGAATCCGACTTAGCTGGGCTTAGCAAATAATATTGTTGGAAATGCTATCATTTTTGTTTCTCTCTCTCTCTATTTTGTAAGTATTGGTTTCCGTATCCTAATTTAATCTTCGAAAAAAGTCAATATATTTTTTCAGAAAACAGTCTCATTTTTAATATAAGTCCGCCCCATAATATAATCCCCTTTCACAGCAGATATGAAATTGCTACCTTTTCTCAGAAATAAAATATTTCAGTGCCACCTGTAAGATTACAGCGATAAAACCAATCAACCACAAAAAAGCTGGAAATATACTTGGATACCCCTTTTGTTCCTGGTACAGGCATAGGAAGATGTGAAAATGAATTTGTGGCCTCAGATCCCATCACCACCATTCTACTCACTCTCAGCCCAAACTCCTTACATCACCGCTTTGTTCTAACGGAACAGCACGAGTTCAAAGATTAGCGATATGATTAGGGCGAAGTTTGGGCCAATGGCATCGAAAAAGGCGGAGTCTTCGGCACAACGTGGGTGGTGGGGATATCCATGGCGACTTGCAGCAACAAGTGTTCGTCTTCTCCGACTTCACTAATCCAATTCTTCGGAGGGATCTGATATACTTTATTAAACGGGTCAGGTTGTGGAGAGAGAGGAAGGAGAATGTTGACCAGGTAATGTTGATGGAGGTAAACAAATTCGAGCGGTAATAAAAAATGTGGGTTGCGTTCCGTGCATGTTGGACCAGCGTCGTAACGAGAAAGCTGCTGTCTTGGGAAAATTGAGTCACTGGGCTGAGTGTCACCATTAAAGTGCGCACCATGTGGGAAACTTTTTTCGAAAAGTTTCAATGAAGTTTAACTTCGGCACTTGTTTGTGCTTTGAATTTAACTTGAAATGATGCGGCCAACGTCGACCCACTGACGTTTAGTGTTTGTCAAATTCAACTTTTTTTTT